CATGGAGACGAACGATGGAAAGTGACTTGAGTGCGGCATCTTTGACATGGAAAACTGTACTGAAGATTGTACAGGACAGGAAAGCATGGAAAGTCCTCTCTGAAGCCTCATGTGCCACTAGGCATAACGAGAACTGATGATGATGATAACAATATTTGCAAACTCTGATTGGCATTCATAGACGCATAAAAGTAGTAAATTAATTATATCCTCCTGTACATTCATTCAATCAGGGCCTTGATGTACGATGACATTAAGATGTGACCACATCGGGTGACACCGTAAATGTTTTATCGGGGGGGGGGGGGGGGGGGGGGGGGAATAAGCAGCGAAATCAATATAAAAATTGAACATTGACTTCAAATATATTATTAGATTTATTTGCCGATCAACTTATTATTATTATTATCTATGAGTTGAATAACAAATAAATATAGTAATATACTTTAAGTAACACTGATTGTATATAAACACATTACTTTTACAGAAAGTGCGTGCACGGTCATTATCCAGTTTCGTCCTTATCAGGACGAAATTTTTTGTTATTTGAAGCCCCACCCTGGCTTTTGCCGGGGGCCGCAATATAGGCAGGCCATACATATAGCCAATTGTCTGAACGCGGTTTCTGGGACCTCTCCACGACGATCATCATCCACATGGTGGCACTTTGTGTCATCGGGTGTTTGTCGCTTGTGTGATGTCCTGGTGGGGTAGAAAGTCAGTCAGTCAGTCAGTCAGTCAGAAAGTGCGTGTGCATAGTTCAACTGTGTCTCTTAGTACGCTTACAAAATTGAAATGGGTGAGAGGCTGAGCCCTTTAAATACTTTTGGAGGGCTAGAGGGACCTGAGCCCCTAGGTTCCGCCACCTATGCGCTTGATAGCACTGACTGAACCTTGGAATTACAAAGCGCGTTCGCAACGCTTAAACACGTCCGACTGTATTTATTTATTTATGGAGACGTGGATTAAACCACAAACTCCGACCACTCAATAGGTTGGTTTCACATGAAGAAAACCCTGGCCTGTTGTGGCCGTCACGTCTGCTGGTTGTATTTTGTCGTCCACTAGGGAAATCAGCTGTGAACTTCTGAATCATACATTTTAGTCTGCTGTTTTCGTTTACCATTGTGATTTTTTAATTTTTTGAACGAAAAGGTTTTGATGCGTCGTCGTCGACTATTTGTAATTTTGAGGATAAGTAACGGTGTGACTACAATTTATTTTATGTATAAAATTGAAATAATAAAATAGTATTATGTATTATTGTCACTATTATTAATATACAGTCGTAATTCAACATCAACATTATAATCATAATCAGTTTTTGGCTATCCTCTGAATAACGATCCCAAATTATCGAGGCCGAAAATTTACCCTAACAGGGCCTCAGTCACATGTAAATTGCGAACTTCCGGCGACTTAAATTGCAAACTTTCGGCGACTACCGCCACCGCCGAGAGTATCTCACATGCCGCTACGCGCGGCGTGGGTCGGGGCTAAACTAGATGCCTGGGACTCATGAGCAGCAGCTACCGCATCTCCTGCAGCTTCATTTTATTTGCTCCTGAGTCCCAGCCATCTAGTTTAACCCCACGCCGCGGGTAGCGGCGTGGGAGATACTCTCGGCGGTGGCGTAAGTCCGCAATTTACATGTGACTGAGGCCCTGTAAGGGTATATCTTTGGCCTCAATAATTTATGACTGTTTTTCGGAAGATAGCCCAGTTTTCTTTATGCGAAGTGGCACCTGAAGCTGTAGAGAGGACTTTCCGGCTCTTCTTTAAACTACGGCTAGACGGCCGGTTAGTCGGAGTTCGGTCCCTTGGCTGCAGTGCAATTACGGAGTGGATAAGAGGGAACGATACAAATGACATAATTACTGTGTGTTGGCGAAAGACAGGGTGCAGTGCCCTGCTGTCATCATATGGCTAGGGTTAGGGTTACAGTTAGGGTTTGATTTAGGGTTAGGGGTATGGTTTGGGCTAGAGTTAGGGTTAGGGTCATACAGATCCGCAGGTGTCACATCTACGGCCACTAAGTCTTGCGTCGCAAGACCGCGGTCACTAATGTGAGTCGCAGCGCGTGGTCTAGCTCCAGCAGTCATGTTGACGGTACTTTGTTTTGTGATTTGTGCTTTCTCCACTCCGTAATTGCACTGTAGCCAAGGGACTGAACTCTGACTAACCCGCCGTCTACCAACCGTAGTTTAAAGGAGAACCGATTTTCCATGCTCTCCTGTCCTGTGCAATCTTCAGTGCATTTTTCCATGTAAGAGATGCCTCATGCAGGTCACTCTCCATAATTCGTCTCTGCGTTGTTTTTGGGCGCCCTTTTTTTCTCATTCCCTCTGGTATCTATGTGAGAGCTGTTTTGGCAGCATGTCTGGATTCATTCTCATAACGTGGCCAAGCCATTTCTATCTTTTCTTGGTTGTCATACTGTCTAGAGTTCCTTGGATTGTGACTTGAAGTAGTTTAGTGTTTGAGATTGTATCTGGCCAGAAAATTTTTATAATTCTACGTACACATGTGTGGTGTAAGGTGGTTAGCTTGTGTGCATCATTTTTAGTCATTCTCCAGCATTCCACTCCATAAAGAAGAATTGGCAAAATGATGTTCTTGAAGAGTCAAAGTTTTGTTTCTCTGCAGTAACTGTTGGATTTCCAGATTTGCTTCATCCTTCCAAAAGCAACTCTAGCTTTGTTCAGGCCTGACTGTATGTCTTCCTCTGTCACTCCCAGTAGGGACACCACACTACCAAGATATTGATTTGTTCTACATTTTCAAATGTTTGGTTTTTATGGTCACTGGTTGTTGGTTTGAACTGTTTGTCATGATCTTAGTTTTCCTTGTATTTATTCTCAGTTCCACCATTTCTGCTGTGCTGTGTAGTCTGTTACTTTTCTCTTGTATATGTTCATGTTTATGTGATAGGAATACTATTCATCTGTAAAATCAAGGTCCTCAAACATGGTGAATGGAGTCCATTGTATGCCTCTCAATGTTATGTTTACTGTAGAATCCAATCAATCACAAGGTTTTTTGTTCCACTTAACTTTCAAGAATTTGATTTCTGACTCAAATACAGCGGCATGTTGAATCTTGCACCAGACTTTATTCTTTTTTATAAAACTCCAAATTCACTTCTCTATTGGTATGATTTATCTCCTGTTTAATTTATCCACATACGTAATTGTTTGAATTTCTGTTCTTGCCCAGAAATATTATTAAGTATTTATTTGGGCATTATCTGCTATCATATAAACATGAATATATACAAGAGAAAAGTAACAGACTACACAGCACAGTAGGAATGGTGAGACTGAGAATAAATACAAAGAAATCTAAGATCATGACAAAAAGTCCAAACCAACAACCAGTGACCACAAGTAACCAATCACTTGAAAATGTAGAACATTTCACATATCTTGGCAGTGTGGTGTCCCTACTGGAAGGGACAGAGGAAGACATACAGTCATGCCTAAACAAAACTAGAGCTGCTTTTGGAAGGATGAGGCAAATCTGGAAATCCAACAGTTACTGCAGAGGAACAAAACTCTGACTCTACAAGAGCATCATTTTGCCGGTTCTTCTTTATGGAGCAGAATGCTGGAGAATGACCCAAAAAATGTACACAAGCTGTCCACCTTCCACCACACATGTCTACATAGAATTATCAAAATTTTCTGGCCAGATACAATCTCAAACACTAAACTACTTCAAGTCACAAACCAAGAAACTAGACAGTATGATAACCAAGAGAAGATAGAAATGGCTTGGCCACGTTATGAGAATGAATCCTGATACACCTGCCAAAACAGCTCTCACGTGGAAACCAGAGGGAAAAAGAAAAAAGGGGCGCCCAAAAACAACATGGAGACAAACGATGGAAAGTGACCTGAGTGTTGGGATCTACTTTGAGAAGTTCTGCTGGCAGTTCCTCTTTGCCTGGTGCTTTGTTGTTCATTAAAGTGTGGATAGCTTTAAGGATTTCTTGTTTGCTTGGTGGTTCAGTAATAATGTCAATGTCCTGAGAGGCTGGTTGAATATCTGGGGGATTTTCAGGATCAGGTCTATTCAAGAGGTTGGAGAAATGTTTAGTCCATTGCATTGTAATTCAACACATTACAATTAATTTATAACACTTGCTTGCTTGTTAAATTAGAATTAATTACGTTACTATAGAATTATATTAATATACTGTATTATTAGTAGTTTTTCATGTTAACAGTATTATTTGTATTATGGTCCTGTGTGTCCATAATCGAGCAATCATCTGGAACTGTTTGTTTTCTTAATTCAAATTGTCCAGGATTTACATCCATTTGATTAATTATGGTACAGTTGGTTCCACTCAACTTTCTTTGACATAGAAAACTGCACTGTAGATTGCACAGGACAGGAAAGCATGGAAATTCGTCTCTGAAGCCTGATGTGCCACTAGGCATAATGAGAACTGATGATGATGATTTGGGCATATTTTCTTAATAGTACTATTAATTCTGTTCTCCATTTCTTTTGATCTTAAAAAAAGTACTTCTTCATATGTATGCATACACAAAAGCAGAGATTTTTTTATGCAGAATGTAAAATGTACAAATTTTTGTTCACATTTCCTTTAAAAAATAATTTTAAAAAACCTGAAATTGATACCATAAAATGTCTCTCTCTTGCAGCACTTCTAAATTTTGCAGGCTGATAATAATGGAAGCTGCTTCATGATCACTTACATCAAGAGATGGAACTAGTTAAAATAAAGTTCAAGTGTTTATGTCAGCAGTACCGTAAATCATGTGCTGTTATCAGTGTAATATTGGAGACATTAGTTCTATGTTTATGAAGAAATATGTGAGATCCTGTATATGTAGTTAGGACATAACTTTTGTATGAGTATTTCTATGAGATTTTAGCACTTTGTGTATGATAGCAGCCTGTCAACAAGCTGATATAAGAATTGTGTATCATTTCTGTGGAAATTTAATCTCTTGTAATTAAATTTCATTATGGCTGCAACAGATCTGCAACCAGACAGTGGGTATTCCTGGCACTTGCTTGGAGACATTGACATCCTCAAATCAAAACCTTGCCGTAAAGTTTTTATGCAAGGAGGTACGGTTTTAGCTTTGTTTTATGTTGCCCCTGATCGGTTCTTCCTAACTAACGCCAGCTGTCCACATGCCAGGGGACCACTGGATCAGGGCGACATAGAGGAGGTGGATGGAGCAGTAGGTATTGTGTGTCCTCTTCACTATTACAGGTTTGACCTCAAAACAGGGACATCATCTTCTGGACTCGTTCTCAAGACTTACAGGACAGAAATAAGAGATAACTGTCTGCATGTATTGACTCCACTTCCCGTTTCTTTAAACAGGGAAGGAAATGAAATGCAAAAGTAAAATTTTGTGATTTAAAAAAAATTTCTTTTATTAGAGAGGTCCTGTACTGGAGAGGCTGAGAGCACGCAAGACCTTCCAGTATAAGTGGACCAACAACCTACTTGGACTCCTCAGACAGGGAGCATGCAACAGGACTGCCAGAACTAATTTTCTATGCAGCGGGGAGTGACGAGAGGTTTTGGTCGATGCTCAAGGCTCAGAGAAAGGCAAGATGGATGTTTAATCAGAATGCTACTAGCACCATTAGTATTGGATCTCTTCACTGGCTGCTGAGAATGGGGACGGAGTGCTTATGGGAATGCCCCGAGTGCTGTGATGTCAGTTCTTGAATCAACTCAACTCAGCTCATATCTTTTATTATGGTAGCAAAGTATCTTCAATTTCTCCAGCTTTGATGTCTGTAAAATTCTGCAGGCGCCATTTCTATTCTCTCTCCTGTGCTCGGTGGTCTAGTTGATTCTGTGATTTAAGCACATTCAAAGCTGGTTCTCATAGTGCTCTTTCAGAGGTAGTAGTGTTCGAGCCCTGTGGGACAAAACCAAGTGCAGTTAAGTGGTTATTTTTTACTTTAAACCTCTTTTAATCATTAACTCACAAAATGCTTACTTAAAACTAGTGAGCTGGTGGCCATTTTTATATATTAATTAGGCCCATATTGCATCCTATGTATTCGTGATGTGCATATACAGTTAGGCCTCACTGCCCCGATATATAGTTGCTAAGGGATTTGTTAGGAATTAAAATAGTTATTGCCATAAAATGCATTTAATCATATTTAATCCTTAATTTTCTTGGGTCGCAGCCCGGAATCCATCTTTTGTCAGATTTCACAATAATTTGTCTATAGTATCTGCGACTAAAATGTTAATATCTCTGCTTAGAATTGACCTACACTGAGGTACTGTTGATGAATATTTTAATCTCTATCCAGCTGTGATGTTTCATTAGTGTATAAAACTTCACTAGCATCCCTAATATTAGTTCTGTGTTTATGTATTATTTATATGAGATCCTGTCTATTTATAATGTCGGATATATCACTTATATGTCTATTTATACATATCTGAGATCCTTTTCTCTGTAATTTTGTAGACATTATTTGATTGTATGTAAATCCTCTATTTGGGAATTAGTTCTCATGTTTGTGTGTACTTTCACTAAGTCTGCACTAAGTCTGCCAAAGGAATTTTAGAATTAATGATTCTGATTACAGGCATACTGTTGGAGACAGCAGTTTTGTGTATGTATAAGGATTGTTTCTGTTAGACAAAATTAATACCAGTTTACAAGTGTATGTATAACATGCTGTGATTGTTGAAGAATTTTGCTATACATTTTTTGCTCACATATAATTTATAATTTATGGTTGTTAAGAGACATTTGTTATAATTTATTAATGTCTACAAGCAACTTTTGCAATTAACAAATATTAAAGAGTAGAAACTCTGGAGCTAGGCTGACAAAATTTCATGTCTACATTCATGTAGTTTTACATCAAGTTTCATGTTTTACGAGTTTATTCTGTGGTCTGTGATTAATTATGTCAGATTTCCAGATACTTTTTCACATGAGCATGCTGCTGTTTGCTAACAGGCAGAAAGTAACCTCATTTGTCAGTTGTCACATTGGGGGTAATGTTTTAGAGTCATATTGTAGGCTACAAAAGGACTAGTCGAGAGCCTGTGTGGTCTGTTATCACACTTCTGAAGAACAATCACTGGGACTCATTCTGTCGGACTGTGTCAGCTTCAGTCTTAATTAAACAAATTGTTAGACCCATCAAAGAACGGATAATGTGAGAAAACAAAACAGTCAATCTTCTTCTTCTTCTCTCTATTCCTGCAATGCCTAACAGCATAAGGGCAGGAAAAGATCTCTGGAACCCTTCTGTTTGCTTGGTATATAGTACTTTTCAGTGTCTGATATTTCCGCAGTCCATGTTCTACATGGTCGACCCTGGGTATTTTACCGTTGTATCTGTATAACACTGCTCTCTGTAGTGACCTTTCTCTTGCTATTCTTGCAGTTAATGATCCGTTTAAATAATCAGTGGCATCTAGAAGGCGTATAGAATGCAATGGTTGGGGCATATAGAGAGAACGGTAGATATCAGAGGGATACATAATGCAAACACAAATGAGTTGAATGGAAGTGTATCATGGGGCAGACCAAGAAGATTGGAAAGATAAAATACAGGCCAACCTACAAATACTTGTAATCACTCACCTGAAAGAGAAGACCATTGATAGAGATGAACAGAGGTGGGTGATATCTGCAGCACTGAACCTCAAGGGCTCAGAATGCTGAAGAAGAAAAGTAGAATTTCAACTTCTTATACTGGTTATAATTATCTTCCCTGGTTTTTATCAAATATAAGGGGGAGGAACAGTTGATGATTCAGCATACAAGTGGCACTGGCTGTCATTTTGTGTGACTGTGCAGTGTCTCAAGTCAGTTCATTTGATTTGCTGTCTTTGCGTGTAATTTAGAATTGGTTCTGTGCTGACTTTATCTTGTACGACCTCATTTCTGATTTGATCTCTTCTGGTCATTCCTAGTCTTTCTAAGACTCCTCATTTTCATGGTTACTAATTTTCTTGCATGTTTTGTTGTGAGTCTCACACTGGTAGCATAGGCTTTGTATGAGATGTTTCTTTATGCTGATTGGTATTGCCTTATACTCTGAGATGGGAGCTAGCTGTCCCAATACTTCCTCTGCTTTACTGCATCGGATGTTAGTTTCTTCATCCAATTTACCATCTTCGGTGATGTTGTTCCAAGATATTTAAACTCAGATGCCTGTTTAATGTATGCATGCTGTAATGCTATGTTTAAATCCTGCTTCTTTCTTCCTATTGACATTACTTCTGTCTTTTCAATAATGATTCTCATATTATTTGATTTACATTATTCATTCATGAATGAGAGATGCTGTTGCAAATTCATGGCTGTATCTGCAATAAAGGCCTGGTCATCAGTAAAGAGTAGTTCATTATGTTACTATTTTTTGTTCCTGGGCCTGGCATCCTTGCTTATACTTTCAATGTAGGTGATGAAAAGGAGTGGTGATAGACACATCCCTGTCTTACTCCAAATGTTACTTTGAATGGTTTAGATGTTCCCTGATTTATTCTAGCTACGCTTCTACACGCCCGTGTGTCACCGGGGCCCTCACGGGAAGCAAAGAATAGTGACACTGCACCCTACTAGGTATGTCGTAAGAGGCGACTAAGGGTAGGGTTGGGCTTGAGGTTGGCTTCCTCATCCTCTAAAAACCATAGCCACAAAAACCAACCAACCATGGATAAGTCAAAAAGAGAAGCAAATAAAATCCAGCCAACCAAGATGAGGGGAGGCTCTTCAAATAGAAGAAGTATAACACGGTGTGGAGAAAGCCGTAAGGAGTCCGGATCGTTGACGTACCTCCTCTCAGCTAGGAAAACCTCCAGAATTGGCACCTGGAATGTTGGAACTCTCTATGATATAGGGAGAACAATGGAAGTAGCAAAGGAAATAAAACATTATAGAATTAGTATTTTAGGGTTATGTGAAACTAGATGGACTGGGGCAGGGAAAAGTATTCTAAATTCAGGAGAAACTATTTTGTTCTCAGGACACACAGAGGAAAATTTGCTGCACAGTGAAGGAGTGGCCCTGATGCTATCAAAAGAAGCAGACAGGGCACTAATAGAATGGGAAGCTGTGAGTCCCAGAATAATAAGAGCATCTTTTAGAACAGTAAAACAGAAGGTGAACATGTCGGTAATACAGTGTTATGCACCAACAAATGATAAAGATGCATCTGTTAAGGAAGAATTTTACATGCAGCTTCAAAATATTATAAATAATGAAAGAAAGGGCAACTTGAAAATTTTGATGGGTGACTTGAATGCTAAGAAAGGATCAGACAACACAGGTTATGAAGAAATTATGGGGAGACATGGTCTAGGAGTAATGAATAAAAATGGAGAATTGTTCACAAATTTTTGTGCAGGTAACCAGTTTGTTATTGGTGGAAGTATTTTTCCCCATAAAAGAATACACAAGGCAACATGGGAATCACCAGACCATAAGACAACTAATCAAATTGACCACATATGTATTAACAAAAAGTTTAGATCATCCCTTTACGATATTAGGGCTTTCAGAGGTGCCGATGTATTTACTGACCATTTCCTGGTGGTAAGTAAAATCAAGTTGAAACTAAAAAGATAAATAACATCTTATAATCATAGAAACCAATATAATGTAGGCTTTCTCAGAGATAAAGAAATTAAGGAACAGTTCTCAGTTACGGTCTCTAATAAGTACCAGGTGTTGCAGCAGTTAGCTGAAGATGTCAACACAGAAGTCTGCTGGGATCAGATCAAAGGAATCTGGAATGAATCTTGCGTAGAAGTTCTTGGCAAGAAAGAAAGGAAACATAAAGCATGGATAACACCAGAAACCATTAAACTGATTGAAGATAGGAAAAGTAAAAAGGCAGAATTAAACAATAGCAAAACTAGAGCTGCTAAAGCTAGAGCTCAGGAGAAATACACAGAAGCCAACAAGGAAGTTAGGAGGCATTTAAGGGCAGATAAAGTGAAATATCTAAATGATCTAGCACAAGAAGCAGAGACAGCAGCAGCAAAAGGAAACCTCAGAGAACTTTACAGTAACACAAGAAAATTAGTAGTAGGTAATATAGTCAGCCAACTGGATCAATCAAAAATAGTCAAGGAAAGGTACTTACTAACACTAAAGATCAAATGGACAGATGGGTTGAATATTTTGAAATGCTTCTAAATAGACCAGGCCCAGAGGTTCCCCCAGATATCCAGCCTTTAGAAATGGAACTGGATATCAACTGTGAGATACCATCCAAAGAGGAAATTAGAAAATCAATAAATCTTCTCAAGGAAGGAAAGGCGACAGGCCCAGATGGTATCCCAGCTGAAGCCATCAGGACCAACATAAACACATCAACAGAATTGCTACATAGATTATTCAGTAAAGTC